CACGCACGCACGCACACACACGCACCCACTCACGCACGCACGCACACACACGCACGCACCCACTCACGCACGCACCCACTCACGCACGCACCCAGACTCGTTACGCACACATAAGAAGCACGCACGCACACACAGCCGGACACGTTCGAAGAGAACGCCCATGTATTCGTGTTAGCATCACTTAACGCTAACTCTATACACCCTAGAAAAAATACCAACTAATCCCTTTCACCACCTTGCTCGGAGTGGCTCGATCTGAAAACAGCAGTAAGATTTAACTCAAACAAACATGGCGGCAGAATGAACACGTCCATGCTAATGTTCGCCATGATTTACATAGTAGAGTAAACACGAGGTGCCTTTAACTAAGATTAGAAGGGAGGGTGAGGGAATGATGCGACCGAAACTGAAATAAACAACACATCTTATTGATGGATGGTTAAACTCGGCGTAGTTCCATAGTGAGTTGCCATCATGAATCACGGTAGTACAGCTCATGCAACACATACGCATACACGCGCACGCACGCACGCACGCACGCACGCATGAACGCACGCATGCACATATGTATACAGACATTCGTTCTTCAGAGGCAAATGCGGGAACCTTCTAAATTAACGAGCGTTCTCATCGATGTACGAAAGCTGTTGCTGATCGGTGTCTATTTCTATGATACGCGATCTCACATGTAAAGACTCGGAATTTTTTCTCGTCCTGAAAATTCAATCCGGGATGCGAGAATTAATCACGAATTTCGCTTACGGCTTCACCATAGTCATGCATATAGTAATAGGTGCAATAGTGATGTATCTACAACTAAAAGACAGCTATGATTAGATGTCATATCGTCTTTGATGAGCGCATGATAAGGTACGGACTCGAGTCAACGTGCGCTCGATGATGCGTTGAAAGACATGGAATTGTTTTTCGCAGATGTAATAAAATGTAACAGTATCAGGGACATAATACTCGGATGATGGTTAGGTTCATGTTTGATAGATATGAGTAATGTTCTGCTAGATAGGATACTATATATGAGAGTCCGTATTCCAAATAAATGGTAGTCAGGTCTGTGTTGTTTATTGACGGAAGATAACAGAATGATATAGAAGATACGTTGCTATGGGGACTTTATTCCAATGAGATATCGCGTATATTTTCAAATTGTGTTAAAAAACAGTAGATGTCATTACATATACGAGATTACGAGCATCTTCATTCCATATAGTTTTTTTAGTTAAATCCATTTGAATAACTGCGCTGAATCATCGTCAGCAATCGTAAACTCACACTGCTAGATTTGGGATACATATCGACCGTCTCGTTGTCAGGTCTATAGCTTGTAGTAACATATGTCAAATACTTATATATATATATATATATATATATATATATATAATTAGTGTTCACCTCTACCTATATTATATTCAAAATGTTGCTATATTATTAACTTGTTTTGCTGTTGCTGTATATAAAATATTATTGCAAGCATATGGCCATTTCCAAGCAACTTAATAAATTATTCAATCTGTTTGCTGTTTCCATGCATCTACACAATCCACCATCGGTGTTATTTATAACAACATAGTTATTGCATGGTTTCTCCGACAGCAGAGCGTCTGTAGATCTCGACAATCAATGTTATCCTCGAACTTCAGTGCGGGCAACATTGATTACCTCGGTACACAAACCTTAATGTGTCCCTCGCTAACACGCAATAATTTTATAACAGTACTTATGGACATGGAAAATACGGATATACAAATCACGTCTTGCATATGTTTATGCGTGCTATGAAATGCAGCACTAGGCGAACAATTCGTCGGGAAACGTGTAATTGAAAAGTAGAAAATCCGCTTCATATTTAGCGTGCAGTTGTCGAGCGAGATCTAGCGGCACTTTCTTGTAGTAAGTCCGCATGAGCGTGACGTCATCACTGCTCGTCGTCTTGTATGTCGCGTTCCTCATGGGAAAGTCGATGGATTCCGCCAGTCCCATCCGCCGCAGCAGTTCGGCGCTGTCGTCGTGCATGCTTTCGTGTTTGCCGACAAAGTCGTAGTTGATGACGCACGGGTCGCACACGTCAACCATGCGTGCCCAGTGGATGTCCAATCGTTCTGTAGGTGTTCCGAGAACATTGTTGAGGAACTGTACGAAGCTCACCGACGTACTAATCTTCCCGCCGGCGTGCTGCCAGCCGACGTGTTTCGGGATCCTACTCAGATACGACTTCCGGAACCCTTTGTCGTCAGCGTCGTCGGCAATCTTATCACGATATGCCGACAGGAGGCGAATGAACGGATGTCTCACGAACATGAACTTGGTGTCGGCGTTGCTAAGGATGGCTGCCTTCCGACGCGAGTTCTTGATGGTGCTTAGGCGCTGAATATACTGCCCGACATTGATATCCATATGCGGATAACCTTTCGGGAGTACATTGAACTGCTGCATGTCGGCTTTGCTACCAGGTGGCGCCATTTCTAAAGCGATGAGCGCGAATTTCCAGGTGGTGGAGGCGATTTTCGGTATAGCACAATACACGAGTTTGTGTCTGGGAGTCGAGTACACATTGAGCCCCGGCTTAAATTCTAACGATTTTGCTACTGCAGTATGCCCTAGCTTTTCACACTGATGACTGATCCATGCCAACCTGTCCTTATAAGTGTCCAGGCGAGGTACTTCCGCAGGTGGGGATGACATCACATGAATGTCACCAACATAATGTCCAGGCAACCGTACTGCCGCAGTGTGGGCATGACATCACATGATGTCACCGCAACAATCAACACTATAGCAAAGAAGACGATACTAAATTTTCCCATTCTTATGGAATCACGCGGACTTAGTATCAATCTGTCAGGTCGACGCTGTGAACTTCATAATGTTATGAGAACGTTAAACCTATACGATCCTATGTAGAATCGCTTCGGCAGTCTAGACTTTTCACTAATTTACGCTCCATCTGCTAAAAACCCGTTGGTCAGTAAATTTTTTAAATGTTTTTGCTTAGAGTACAATTATTACCTACCCATCCGCCTCCCTCCACACAACATACGCGCACGCACGCGACCACCACGCACAACAGCGCATCTATCTGCACAGCAGCGCGTCCCCCGGCACACACTTCACTATCACACGATTCACAACGACGACCACAGCCACACAGTGGTCGACGCGGGCGGGCTGGGGAGGCGACGCACACACGCCGCACGGCAACAACACGCAGCAGCACACAGCACGCACACCACTCACCCCACGACGGACACACACACGCGCACACACAGGCACAGCCACACACACACACCCACCACACACGCACACACAGAACACAGCATACACACAGCACACACAGCACACAACACAGCCACACACAACACACACTACACACAGCACACACAACCACAACACACACACCACAACACACCCACGCACGACACAACACACACACACAGGGCGCATACAACCCACACCCAACACATCGACACATCACACACACACATCACAACTACACACACACAGACACACACACACACAGCAGACACACACACACCTACGCAACAACAGGACCCACACACAACGGCACACCAACACACAACAATCGGAATCAATTCTCATTAATAAGCGCAAACCCTACGGACTACTACAATGAGATCTCTCCGGCTTTCTTGCGAAGGCACCGTGTGCCTGTATATAGCTAGCATGCGTTGATCCTTCCTTACCCCTGCCGCCGGTTAGCAACACGCACCTGTACGAAGTTAGACATCGCTATACGTACCGTAGAGTAGAAACGCGAGCATGGTGGTACTTGCCAAAGCTACCGATACGCAGCGCTTTGATCCGCCCATAGCAGCAGCTGTGCAGAGGACAACGTTGATATGATTGCAGCTATATACATAACCTGTATGATACAGGCGGCATGTTCCGCTTCACTACACTAAAGCCCGCCCCACGCGGTGAACTATCTGCTGAGCCAACGACCTCAAGTTAGCTCAGCAGATAGCTCAGCGTGTGCGCGCAGATTCTGTACGATTTTTGGCCCCGCGTGGCTGTGAGACCGATATCTATCGTGTTTGATATTTGTGGCCACGCGAGGCCAGAAACTCAGCGTGTGCGGGCTCCGCAAGCTATCAGCTCAGCCACAAATATTTTCCGACCAATGAAAGCGCAGGAATAGGGCATGTGATTTAAAATGTCGGCGCCCACTGAACAGCAGAAAACTCTACTTTTCTGTAGATTCTGAGATTGTGCACGTACACGTGCGTGCGTGCGTGTGTGCGCGCGTGTGCAGGTACACGTTCGTGCGTGCGTGCATGCGTGCGTGTGCACGTACACATGCGTGCATGAGTGTGTGCGTGCGTGTGCACGTACACGTGCGTGCGTGCGTGCGTCTGTGTGTGGGCACGTACGCGTGCGTGCGTGTGCACGTACACGTGCGTGCGTGTGGTGAGGTTTACGTAAGTCTCCCGCATTTCCGCTCTAAGGATGCTGTCATGCGAATGCAATGATGTGCTGTGTAGTGCAGGAGATCAACACAGCTTCTCAAGTAGAGATTTCTGCCGTAGTATATTCACAGATATGTGGTTTGCTTCCCGTTTACTTAACTGTGACGTTACCATAATGACAGACTAACGGAGAGAATGGTATTAATTATTAAATTAATAATTACCAATTAATAGATGAGGTAGAATTAGGTCATTTGTTTATCACGAAGTTAAAATCTAGAACGTGCAACTACCAGAAAATGTGGTAAATCTCACGTTGAACGTAAAAGGTGTACGCTCCAACTTTGATAAAAAAAAAAATTCTGGGAAACTTACGGGATAAGTCAATAATTTCTCTAGAAGCATGTACGAATACATTTCTTCTAAGTGCCGCCATTATAAAAGCGCAATACACGCAGCCTGTGCGGCGGGACCACCGATATTACAACAACCTCCCCCAATCATTCTTTTCGTGTTTTTATTTACTTCTTTAAGTAATGATGTAAACGAGAAAGGTTTCCTTTGAGGTAAATTAAAAAATAATAATAATAAACAAAAAGATGGAGCGAGAGAGAAACTAGGGATATTGCAACACCCTTCCCCAATCATCCTTTTTGTTTTTTTATTTACTTCTTTAAGTGGGCGAATGAGGTAAACGAGAGAGAGAGACAAGGAAAAAAGATTAAGAAACAAAAACATGGAGCGAGAGAGAAAGAGAAGAAGTAAACGAGAAAGAAAGAAAGAGAAATATGCATATATATATGAGATGACGATATAAAAGTGATTTACAACTGGTGAGATGCTAGTTAATCTAGCTAATTTACAATACGAGCCTGGTTTTTATGTAAAGGGTCACTCCTTTGACGTAACATTATAGGCGATATTACCAGGACTGTCATAATATTTCAACATGTTTTGTTAGCATCTATGACAAATACGACATATGCATATACGCTCTCCTATATGACAATATTTGTCATAGTATGATTCTTCCTATGACAAATATTGGCGAGTCAACTCTGTTCCGCGTTACAGCTGAAATTCACTGCTTGCGTTCATAATATTTAGCGCTCCTAAACTCCTATGATGCGCACAACCCATACAACAATATTTGTCATAGGAAGAATCTTCATATGGCAAATAGTGTCATAGGAGACCGTATATGCGTATGTCGTATTTGTCATAGATTCTAGCAGAACAGCCTGAATATTTACATACTAACTGCATCATAGTAACTATAACGTATCATCTATAGACTATATTATGACACTTTTAGAATACTAGGTACAGGCCTAACGCCGGTAAAAGACAGTTTCGGAACAGTGACAAACATTGTGTTGGTATTGATTGACACACACATTTGACACACACACGCACGCACACGCACGCACACGATCGATCTGTCACGCTACGATTGATGTTTTTATTGTAACCTATGTGTGACCCAACAGCCACCGATTAAACTAGTACTAACTAATTCATATTATTCATATTAAAAATTTACGACCGCCATTATGAATTATTTCTACTAGTACTAGCAACGCGGCATGACGGAAAGCATTGTTATTATTAAATTATTTATATTATTATATTATTAACGACTGTGCTCTATGTATTCTCTCTGTTACAGCGACGCTATTTGCATAACGACCACGGCGACACATGACATCCATCAAATGAACATTCAATATAACTATTCATTACTCGGCGTTAAGGTTGTACCGTTAATGATAGCAACAGTCGCGTATAGTAACGAGAACATAAGCTGTTGCCTTGGCCGCATGTACACGCTGTGTAAGCTTAGAGCGCATGCATGCGATACTCACTCAAAGTTGCTGGTCGATTCACGGGAATCCACACCGAGCCTCACACAGCTTCCCTGACTCCACAGCTCGTTAGTATTGACGTCGTCCTCACGATAAACGCGCGATAGTTAGAGATGAGTGGTAAGGCGACGGTGTTAGCGCTGCACTGCCTGCACGGAGGATGCGCAACACGCGATGTCAGCCGGGAGGATGCTGAGAGCGAGGTTTGGGACGCTGCCGCCACGCAGCGTTCGTGTTGATTCTGGCAGCGCAGTCCGCGAGCGTTCACACGTATTCACTCTCTCTCTCTCTCTCTCTCTCTCTCTCTCTCTCTCTCTCTCTCTCTCTACAAGTCAGAGGCGGTTGCGCATGCGCCGGTCCGTACGCAATGGTAACTCGTGTTTTATTACGTGCGTTAGCCTATAGGCAAACCCTCTACAATATTACTATACTTATCCTATCCTCTATTGATGAGGTGTGCCTAATAACTGATCTGATAAATTATACATGTGTGTGCGTGTGTGTACGTGTGTTTGTACGTGTGCGTGTGTGTGCGCGTGTGCGCGTGTGCGCGTGCATGTGTATGTGTGCGTGTGCGTATGCATGTGTATGTGTATGTGTGCGTGCGTGTGTGCGTGCGTGAGTATGCGCATGCGTGTATGTGTGCGTGTGCGTGTGCGTGTGTGTCTATGTATGCTTACATACACGTGTAATATATCTATTATTTAAAAAATCGTTTGCAGGATCTTCTTGGCATAGAAGAGCATATTGCAGTCGACATGATCCTGCGTTATATCAATGGCGACTACGCTAAAGAAATGTGAGAAATACCAACATTTTCTGATATGATTGTAGCATTCTTGTGTGTGCGTGCGCGTATAGAGTTATATGTGCGTGCGTGCATGTGTGGGTGTATATGCTAATATTTACAGTTAGTATACATGTCAAGTATCACATATATGTCAAATATGTCATATCTATATTTCTAGAGAGGCAGATCAGAAGGAGTTCACGCATCCCGACCGCGTCGAATCGATTAAGTATTGAATTTAAGATGTTTTCTATAATTTTTAGTAACATCACAGCGTGCACCAAATTAATAAAGACGCATTAATTCATCATCGTTTCATTATGAGAAATTAAACCACATCAATCCCTTATTTAACAGATAAAATCTTATTAACATGAACGTTGGCTATTGACCGCTATAATTCCCTCTTAATCATTTTCATATATTCACATTTATTCACGTGTCATATATTGTAATGATTTTACTTTCCCTTTCCTACTATTTCCTAGACCAGGTTTTGCGAGGTTGAACCTACCCTACTTCTTTCCGGACAAGTACATAAACTTCATATTGGAGGCCGTCGACATGGTAGCGACGCACGGATGGAAGATGTTGCCTCAGGTAAACAGTCATG